AACAAAACCCAAAAAACAAAAAGGGGGGGGGTGGTGATGGAGCTGGAGAGCCCCCCTGGTGCTGTGAATAAAGTGGTGGCTTTGTCCTGGGTGCCAGGGCAGCGTGGTGGTGGGGGGAGCAGGAGGACAGGGAGAAGAAGGTTGTTGGAAGGACTCAGGGACCCAAGAAGGAAGCTGGGGGCAGCTATGGTGTCCCCCCCCTTCCCCGTCAGCATCAGACACAGCAGCCTGGCAGGAAAAAAAAAGGACATTGAGGGTAAAACGTGAGGAGGGAGAGCGGATCAGCTGGTGAAAAGCAGGTCCCCATTTGGTTAAAATTAGTCCCACTTTAGTTAAAATTGAGCTCCCGGGGCTTGCAAAGGGGTAGGGGCATTGTGTGTGTGTGTGTGTCCCCCTCTCCGGTGCCTTTGCATGGGATGAAGTGGCACCACCACAGTGGAGGAGAAGGAAAGAGCAAAGAGCTTTTCCTGGGGTGCAGCACCCCCATACACCCCCCTCCCCACCCCTGCACCCCAAAATCTCCCCACCCCTGGGGCTGCAAAAGTGTGTGTGTGGGGAGTTTATTCCTGGTGAAGCGGGGAGCAGTTTGGGCAGCAGAGCCCTGTGGGATGGTGACAGGTAGGACACCCCAGAGGGGGACACCACCTTCTGGACCCCGAGGGGACCCCAAGGGGACCACGCCGTGGGGGTCAAAACTTGCCTCAGCAGAGGAGTAGCCCGAGGAACATCTGGATCCCAGCTCCCCATCACTAAGAGAAGAAGGAAAACGGTCAGAGCCGGTTGGGAATCTCCCCACCAAAAAAAAAAAAAAAAAAAGCCAGTTCTGAGCCCACAACGCCCACCCGCACCCAAAATCCTGGGATATTGGCCCAATTCCCACCTGTCAGAATCGAGGGAGACCAGGTTCTCGTCCGCCGTCTGGCTGAGGGCCGTGTAGCCCTTCTTGAACTTCACCGACCTGCCAGGAAGCAAGAGGAGCTGAGGCTCCTGTGGGCATTTCCAGGTGGAAAAGGCAGCCCCAGAGCGGATAAATCCCAATAAACCGAGGAGCCAGGGCAGGAATTCCCAATCCTAAATGTCCCTAAAATCCCACCCCAGGCGTTGTCCGGGGCCACCAGGAGCTAAGAACAGCCCCCGGTTAAATCCTGAACGCCAAACCATTCCCCTCCCCCAAAAAAAACACAGAGAGGCAGCAGCGTGGCCCCTCGTGAGAGCACCTCCTGAATTTTTGGGGGGAAAAAAAAAGAAAAAAAAGAAGTTAAATCTATTATTTTATCAGCTGCTCGTCAGCCACGAAGCAGATCAACGCCCCGGATTCGTTTTGAAATCCTTCGGCTTTCCCAGCCTCCCCAATGGAAGGTGACAAATCCACCTTGGGGAGATGTGGGAGGGGGGAGGGAAAACCCAAAAAAATAGAAAACCCCATGGAAAACCAAAAGGGGATCCAACCTTTTAGGCGCCGTTTTCGGGTGGTGGGGTGTGGGTCCCCCCAGCAGCCCCTGCCTTCGCAGCGCTGCCCTCGCCAGCTCCCGCTGCCGCTCTGAAAGCCAAGCACAGGGTTCAGAGCTCAAAACCACCCAAAACTCCCCAAGGAGCTTATTTCTTATTTTTTTTTGCGGGGGGGAGAGGGGAGGCATCGAGGGCTGGGTGTATTTTTTCTAGGGAGAGCACAGGGGCACTGAAGCGCTTTCCATTGGCAGCGCCTAAAGGGGTTTATCTATTTTTCTTTTCACACCCCCATACACCCCCCTCCCCACCCCTGCACCCCAAAATCTCCCCACCCTGGGGCTGCAAAAGTGTGTGTGTGGGGAGTTTATTCCTGGTCGAAGCGCCTCGGGGAGCAGTTTGGGAAGTAGAGCCCTGTAGGATGGTGACAGGTAGGACACCTTGGAGGGGGACACCACCTTCTGGACCCCAAGGAGACCCCAAGGGGACCACGCCGTGGGGGTCAAAACTTGCCTTCCCCGGTTCTCTGAGCTGTCACCCCTTCCCCAGCTTGGAAAAAAAAAAAACAAAACCCAAAAAACAAAAAGGGGGGGGGTGGTGATGGAGCTGGAGAGCCCCCCTGGTGCTGTGAATAAAGTGGTGGCTTTGTCCTGGGTGCCAGGGCAGCGTGGTGGTGGGGGGAGCAGGAGGACAGGGAGAAGAAGGTTGTTGGAAGGGCTGAGGGACCTGAAAAGGAAGCTGGGGGCAACCGCCGTCTGGCTGAGGGCCGTGTAGCCCTTCTTGAACTTCACTGACCTGCAGGGAAGCAAGAGGAACTGAGGCTCCTGTGGGCATTTCCAGGTGGAAAAGGCAGCCCCAAAGCAGATAAACCTCGATAAAATGAGGAGCCAGGGCAGGAGCCCCCCAGGGGTTGGGGAGAGGGCTCAGGGCCCCCCCCTTCCAACCACAGCACTAAAACACCCCCCCGAGCGATGAGATAGAGTTTATTGAGCGCTCCCTTCAACAAGGAAAATACAAAAAAAACCCCCAAAACATTTCTCTAAACACAAAATATTTAAATAAGGTTTCTTAGAAGCTGATTGTCTTCTACGACGTAGAGCAGGACCGTGATTTAAGGCAGCTTTTGAGGTTCACAGCAGGTAGAGTCCCCAAATCCACACGATGGGGGGGGGGCTGTGCTGCCCCTCACCCACCTCAAAGTGGTTTTTTTTTTGGGAAAGCTGGAAGAAGCCATTAGCTCCAAAGCCCCAAATTTAACGGGTGTCCCCCCCCAGGGAGGCAGAAAATGGGGTGAACCCAGCCCGAGCTGCTGGTGGATCTAACAAAATTCAGGTGGTGGAAGCTCAGAGCCTGCCCCGAGGGGTTCCCCCCCCCACATCTCCTCCATCGGAGCCAGGATCTTTGGTTCAGCCCAAGCTTTGGGAGGAGAAAACCCAGCAGCAATTAATGGCCAGCAGCAATTAACAGCCAGCAGTGGGAGAGAGGTAAATGAAGCAGCTCTCCAAGCTGGCCTCAGCCTACCGAGGAAGAGGAGGAGGGGTGGGGGGGGCACAAAAGCATAAATAAATAGAAAAGAGAGGGGTCTGGGGGCTTCCCACAGCATGGAAGTTGCAC